GGTGGGACCTTTGGCCCCCCCCGCTCATCGAATAGAGCTCTCTTGCCATCTCGTTGACGGCGTTCTTGGCCCTTTCCCAAGCGGGCTTTGGAGGATCCATACTGGGGTAAGGGTTAGATCTAGCTTCTACTAGAGTTAGAGTTAGGGTTAGCTTACTTGATGAAAAGGCCCCCCACCCGAAGGTCTCCTCTATCCTTTGCCTTCACCATCCACGCGGGACCCTCGATCTCGACCGTTCCATCGTCCCAATCCTCGCGGATAACATGGGGTTTCACTTTGTCCAAGATCGGCTTTGCCGCTCTCTCAACAGGGTGCTCAGCTTTCGCACGCTCCTCCGCGCGCTTTGCGGCGTTAAGTTTATCATAGCGGTCGAGATCTCCGTTTCGCCAATAGTTGAAAAAAACCCTGTTGGACCTCTGTATATCCCGGAGACCCCTAAGGTCATCATCGTGTTGGACATCAGGCCAGTTATGTAGCGGTGGGGCAGGGGGAGCGGGAGCGGGGGGTTGAGGGTTCGCCGCCATCTTGTATCAGCGGCGGCCAAATTCTCGAGTACCTTTCCAGGGAAGCTGTGGAAATTTTGTTCAGAGCCAATGCCTCGAGTCTCGGTAGGAACGGCAATGGGAGTGGGCGAGAAGTTGATGGCCAGTGTGTTGTTTATGTACAACAGGCTGTTGATAAGCTGAGCCGCCCATTGTTTGTTTCTTTGATGCGCAGAGGGCTCGACGCACACAAAGCGCGCATATTCACAACCGGGCGATAAAGGTGGCATGCCATAGCTCCTGCGGCAGGAGGGCGTTTCATTGTTGCCGAGGCCGGATGCGGCCATGATTGCAGTTCGATCTCAAGGGTAATTCAATAACGTTATCGTTTCGAAAATCTTTATTAACGCCATAGAAAGTCTAGCTGAAAATTATGCCAATAAAACACAGCCATGCAAGAAAATCCAGCAATTAATCCCCACCTCGTCTCTCTCCACGCAGCTACTCACCTCTCATGCTCCCTAGAGTGCCCCGCCCAAGACAGAATACATTACACAATCTGTCGCAAAAATCCCCCCCAGCACTTCAAAGTCCTTGACAAAATTGTCCCCCCAGGTACTATAAGTCCCGCAAAAGGTGGACAAAGTCGTGGCAAAGTTCTCGACGCATTTCTCCAGTCCCAGGTCCCCAAAGCTAAGCTCGTTCTTGCCTTGCGCGCAAGCCCCCTTGTAAAACAAAGCGGAGAGCTACATGGACATGCCGTTCTGAGCCTGCCCTTCTAGGACGGGAGCTTTGGGTGTCGGCCCGCCTTCCTTGATTACCCATTTCTTATCGACCAGCTCTTTGAAGTACCCGCTTACTGACTTATACAGCTTCTCCCTATTTATTCGGGCTGGTGATCCCGGGCTGCCGTCTGCTTTCATACACACTGGCTGCTGGGGGCCGCTGTTGTCCTTGACATTTGGGAGTTTACCGCCCTCGTAGTCCTTGTAGATCTGGTTCCCTTGGCAGATGGGCTTTCTGGCATCGTTGTCCCCCTCGTCCTTTTCGTCCTCGCCGCCGTCATCGGATCCATCGTCCGCAATGATGGGCACATGTTGTAAGTTGAGTTTGTAGAATCTCTGTGTTGTTGAGATGGTGCGAATTGATGGGGCAAACTGATTCCCAGGTGGAGGAAAAGTATTCATATTTATACTCATTGGGTTTCTCTCAACGACTGGTTATCCTGCCTCTTGGAGTATCCGTCCCTTGGATGTTGTTGAATCATGTGTATAAAGCCGAGAGGCTCATCCTATTCACTTGGCTACACGGCCGGGCCTGGTGTTTTAGATCCCAAGGCCAGAGTGAGTCCCGTATTATCAGTACTATATAGACTCGGGGAGAAAACCTCATGACTTTTCAACTCCGCTAGTTCGTGTTCACGAGTATACTATATATCCTACACGGCCTCCTATCAAATATTATAGTAGCGTTATAGTAGTAGAACTAAGTCAATTATTATCCCTAGAGGACAACTTGTTGAAGGAAATACGGCATACGCCCTGAACTGTACGGTCTACGACGCTGGAATACAGGTCATCCATGTATATATATCGAGAGCCCTCCCCCTGGGAGCCTCTCTCTCCCTCTCTCTCTCCTCTTCTTAATCTTCAATACGAACTTTCCACCTACTCATCTTACCTTACAACATTCACGTCTGGGCCGACGATCAAGATTTGGAAAGCTCGGCTGAGGCTGAGCTTGATCCCGAGAAGGTGCGGCTGGCCATGATAAGTCGCGGTTTGCTGGTCTGGGGGATTGTGGAGATGCCTGAGGACTGGTATAGTAGGAACCAAAACACGAGTGGGGCGGATGATACTGGGGATAGCGTCTCTGGCATTGTCGATCCAGCGCCGGCTTCTCATGAGGAGGCGCAGGTGATACATATGAGTTTCGGGACACCGCTGGACCGTGTGACCGCGCCAGAGGAGGGTAGATGGTATCTGTTTTGGTAGTCAACTCGGAGTGTCGGAACCAACGACGGTCGGTCCCGTCGCATTCGAAGCAGGCGGGAATATCATATATGCATTAACGCAGTTATGCGTATACCCAACATTTACATAACGAATGAATATCCCAATTTGGAGGCCGGCGACTGGCCGAAACCTCTGGTTCAATGACCTTTCACCAAGAGGATGTAAGGGCTTACCCCTTTGGCTGCACTGACAAGAACGATGTTCAGCTGTTGAAGACCCGAGATATATTCGAGGGTTCGGACTCGAGTCGCAAAAGGAGATAACAATCAAGGGGTGGGGCGAAGCAACGGTCTTGGCTTGTCCCAAGCATGATGACAGGGATAGTTTCGTATCCTCCTGGCCAATCGTTGAAGCTGCCGAAGACGTTGCGACCCACTCCCGAATCCTGGCAGCCAGGCAAGGGAAGGTGCTGCCTGGTCTGGACCAACGAAATTACAAGGGTAGGTAGGACTGCACATTGTCCACGCCATGACAGTCGACCAACTTCTTTCCAAGCTTGCTTCTTTCTCATCTTGACGACCAACTCTCACCTCTTACTCATCGAAAACACCACCTGCGTCTCTGTCTTTTCTTGTAGGCGATCATTACAACTCACCAGGGATCATGGCCAGCTCGTCGCAAGATATGCCTACGGCAACGACCGAAACGCCCTACCGGGACGACCCGGACGCCGCGGACTCATCCCCGCTCCTCACCGGTGAGCAAACAGCCGCCGGTGACGAGGAGCAGGGCATCGCCGCTCCCGCTGCCACCTCCGAGGATGCGGCGAGCCCAGATCCACCGCGCCGACAATTCAACTTTATCCGCTTCCATTTGATCACGCTCATCCTGTCCGTCATCGTGGTCGTGGGGATAATCGCCTTCATGATCGGTTACGTTATCGTCGGAGGTCCAGATTATTACGGGTTACCCTATCCCATTGATACCAGCGCATCCGCTGCTCTTCCTGTCGTAAGTTAGATCAACAAGCCGGCCCTTGTTGCTGCCCCAGCCACCTTATTCGGCCAAACTCAAAATTCTAACTGGGAATGAATGAAATATTTAGTGTGCCGTTGTCATTGCCTGGGCAGGATTGGCGATATTCCGCCATCGCAGAGGACGACCACTGCAGTCCCTCGGCGTGGCTACCGTTCTGCACGGCACTGCGGGCTTCTTCATCTTCATCGCGGCTGGTAATGCGGCTGACGGGTTGGGTTCCTGGTATGGAGGGGGCTGCAGGTGGCGATCGGGAGAAGGGTGCAGAATTTTCGACAAGGTGTTTTGGTATGTGGTGTTGATTTACGCGGTGCTGTTGTTTGTCATTTCGTAAGTTGTTTCTCGAGCTATTTCTTCTCGACGGCTTCTCGTCTCGAGACGGGCCCCGAGGCCTTTGAACTGCCGACATGAGCTGACGCTGGTATGAAACAGAATCTTGCAGTGTATTCAGTTCGTTGCCTGCCTCACTACCGTATACCGAAGCAGAATCTACAGCCGCGGATCGGATCACGGATTTATGCTCCCCGGCGGGCAGATCTCGATCGAGTTCTCAATCCGGTTTCTCCGACAGGATGCACCGCCTCCCGCGCCGATTCGCGGTCTCGCTCCTCCTCCTCCTCCTCCTCCTCCTCCTCCTCCCCGTCCAGCTTCTCCGCCTCCTCTTATCAGCACCGAGTGAGAAGAGTACAGCACATACAGATCCTCTATGACAAAAACATTTACAAACGTTCTCTGTCCACACGAATCTCGTCTACCTACTCCATCTCTTTCTCGAACTTTCTCGTACCATGTATTTCTCTGGCGCAGCAGAATAAGCAGGGTAGTCAGCCGACAAAGAGAGATGTGTCCCTACGGCGGCGACGCGCCCCCACGGCGGCGACGCAAAGCTGTATGCCGGTATCATTATACCGGGCGAGCAAGTTCTGGACCGCTGGTCGGAAGCCGATTCCGGCCTTGTGGCCTTTCCTGATGCCTTTTGGGCTAGCACTGGGGTTCTTGCTCGAGGATTTTGGCCTTTGCTCCGTGTTGTTTTAGGTAGAGGCCGTTCATTAGGCCTGCTAGGGAGCCTCCTACATTTGTTTGACGACAAGGAGATGTTAGAGGGTCTTATGCGCTACTCAGGCATGATGAATGGAAGAAATAGAGTTGCTTTGACTTGCAATAACGACTGATTTTGGCTTGGTGCTAGTCATTGTAGGTTACTGGACAGTCGATGCCGATGTGGTGGGCCTCTGAGACAAGATAGGTAATGTAAAAGGGGCAGACGTTCGCAGTGAGAACCAGCAGGCAGTTGGTCCCAACCATTCGAGGATTTTGAGCTGCCCAGTTGGGCAAAGAGTGACATGAAAGCATGCATATCTTGATGGCCGGGTGCATGCGTATCCCTTGTGCATGCGATATTACCCGTTCTTTTATTCAACGTCTAGATGACAATACCGACCTACCCATGGCCGCCTGAGGCATGAACCGCCATAGCCCGTAGCCTTTAACTCAATCGTTGGATCCAAACAATCGAACAAATTCAAACGGTCTGGTGGTGTAGTGGTTTATCACGTCGTTATTATACATAAGTCTGTTGTATTATTTCTTGGAACAACAGTTATGAGCCCTCGGGTTACGATTAGGATGGTTTCGGATACAGACTTATTATTCTATCCGAAGGACCTGGGTTCAAATCCCAGTCAGACCATATCTTTTTGATACCCTTTTATTTTCGGCACGTTTTAAAAGTGATATAAATGCCCATCGACAAAATTGGATAATATTCATATCTAAACACGAGTTTTGGTCAGAACTCTTCATCTCATTCTCTTGTCTCCTATCTCCTATCTAGCATCCTACTTTTGTTTCCTAACTTGTTGAACATTTTCCCAGCCACCAGATACATCATATCCACCTATCCTGATACATCTCCCGCACCCATTTCAATTTAAGGTATGCCCGTAACATGCCTAAGCAGGAACAGGCGTAGCAGCAACAGCACTCGTGGTAGTGCTCGTCCCCTTGCCCTTGCCCTTGCCCTTACCGGTAGGGAAGCCAGTAGGCAACCCGGTAGGCAGGGAGAAAGTCCTGGTCCGGGTCCCAGTGGGAATGGGCAGGGTGAAGCTCCTGGTCCTGGTAGGGCGAGTAGTCCCAGTGGGAGTGGGCAAGCTGAACGTGCCCGTGCGAGTACTGCGGGTTCGGGTACGAGTGCGTGTGTAGGTGCCTTTGCCCTTGCCTTTTCCTTTGCCTGTGGGGAGGAGAGTGGGGATGATGCCTGTTGGGATTAGGCCGGTGGGAGTCAGGATGGGTGAGGCCGCGCTGGTTGGGGTTGCCTGGGGGGCGCGGGCTAGGACGTTGGCCTTTTGAAATTGTGAGCGTTGATGGTTAGTAATTAAGTATACTGGATTTGGAGCTTTGAAAGGCAAGTTCAAGGTTCCTTGAGGCTTGGGATAGACTGCTGGACCATGGCTTGGAGGGAAAGTTCTGGTGCTTGGCGGCTTGGGGAACAAAGGAGGGAGCAATGAATGGAGGGTTAAGGGACAGACAAAGATACCAACATACCTCACGCTGTTCGACGTTCACAGCCGCGCCGAATACCGAGGGCAACAGCAGCAAGGCTGTCAAGAGGGAGGAGGCACTGGCATACATGCTTGACGATAGCAGTCTTGCTGATACAAGAGAAATGTTGTTTGTATATTGGGGCTTGCTGTGAGATCCTGGCAGTGAAGCAGACGATGTCTTGGAAACGGAGACCACGAGGGTATATATAGTTGACAATGACAGTCTGAACTTGGTAAAGGAATGGAAGAAGACTTTTTGAGCTCTTAGAACTCGGTGACGTCCTTGAGCTTGTTATTCCGTCTGTCACGTCACATCTCGCTCTCGCTTCCATCACTCTCCGTCCGGTTCATATGGCTATTAGACAGAGTCGCGATGATGTTTCGTCCCCCTCACTTGTTCCTGACATGATGTTGCCATGGAACTACTACCCCGGAGAGGAACGTCCTTTTGTTGAAGTCGTACAACAACAAAGAAACCCTATGACAGACCACAGCGTGTGGACATGATGACGCTTGTGTCATCGCCCCAGATCTGGGAACCGTATACTCTAACTAACTCATCTCGCTTGGGTGTAGCTCACGAAGGAGGTGATAAAACTGAAACTATTAATCAAGCTATGCGGGGAAGAGAAGTCCACAGAAAATTCGTGCGTGTTTGTCCAGGTCTGTTGGTGATCTCAACGGCCTGAGGGTCTTGCGGTGCAGAGGTCTAGAACTAGCCGCCCGAGTGCCCGGTCTTCGGCATATGCATTGCTTGTCATACCGAGGACAACGGTACTGGATATTGAGAGCTCGCCGAAAATAGAAGAGATTTGCATTGGTCTACGGTCGGTAGGATATGAGTGTGAAATATATGGCTCCATATTTACCCGCCACGACTCCCACGAGTCAAAGAATGCATGTCGGTACTGTTACTCGATCCAGACTTATATCTGCCGGTTCCGTCGGTGCTTTTAGCTCCGACCAGGATGAGTACCACTCTGCATACTGCTCACCTTATACCCGGTGAATCCCAATTGAGCCAAGACATTATTGCTGCATATTAATTACATTTGCACGCAAATGTTGATCGTGAACCACCTATTTTGCCATAAAAGACGTGATCGAATGTGGATGCTCATCTTCCATGACGATATCCAGGGGGCCAGTACTACCTCAATTCTAGTGTCATGGCTCATCGCGATGTGTTCTTTCGTCAAGCAATAAAGGGAGAGGAAGGGACCAGATGTGATGAGTACTTGGCTCCTACAGAGCCCTCCTGGTCCAGGCTATGAGAGTCCCATTTTAACGCATGTCTAACAAAAGAAAAACAACCATTCAATATTATGCTGCCAGGCGTAGTCCGAAATGAAACTTGGTATAACAACCAGAAAGCCAACGCCTTCTTTGAACCCCATCAAGGCCTAAAAGCAGCCACCCAGAAGCCTCCGATAAACTCCACGGAGGCATACATCGAATACAACAGCCGCCTTAAATCTTCTTAATCCCGTCCTACTGTTTATATATGCGTGTCCTCTCCATTCACAGCGCCCCATTTTCCTTGCCACGACAGCTACTGCCTCCAGAACCGGGGCCATGTCCTGTCATCTCCAACGCCTTCTCCAGCCCCTTGAACACCAGTGGCCGAGTCAAAAATAAATCCACGCCACTGACAAATGCGTCTTGCTGTATTTCATCGCCCGAGAGACCTGTGAGGGCGATGACGGTGACGGGCTTGAGCTTCTTGACACGCTCGAATTCTCGGATACGTCTGGTGGACTCGAGTCCATCCATGACCGGCATCGAGATGTCTGGAGCGATAGAATAGTCAGCATCGGCCAGTACAATGTAGTCATGTAGTGGGCTAACCTGTGACAATGCACCTAAATTTCTCGGGGCTGCTGGTATATATCTCCATGGCTTCGAGACCATTCAGGGCCGGGACGAATGGGTGCTTGAGTTTAGTCATGTACGCCGTGAGGATCTACAAAACCACCGCGTTAGTGCATAGAAGGTGCATCAACAATACAAGTAGCATACCTTGATGTTGATGGCGTTGTCGTCCACAATGAGGATGGACTGCTTGCTTGGCTCGGACTCTTCCCCTTCGGGACAACGCACTACATCGGACAGGCCACTTCCGTCCAAACTTGAGACAGGCAGAGCGCTTTCCCCAATCGCTGAATCCAGGGGCAGCGGGAGGACATCCTTGTTCTTGGGGCACAGAGGCAACACACTCAGGATGGGCGTGCTTGGTGTGCTGTTCGCCATTCTAAGACGAACTTTGGGCCTGGTCGATGGCGACAGCGGCGTCGGGGATCTTGTCAGGGGCTTCGACGCGTCTTTGGATGCCGCCGTCGGGGTCTTGGGCATACCCTTCGCCAGTGGGTTGTCAGTAGCACCGTCTTGGGGAGAGGTCCCATTCCGATGCTTTTCCCATTGCATACGGCTAGCTACCAGGGCATCGGCCAGCTTCCTTGGGCCAATGCTGGAACAAAAGTCAGTACTATATATCAAAACGAATAGGGCATCAACGGGTTGTACTCACGGCTGTGCTATATACGAGACTCCCAGGTATGGGATGGCACCCTTCCCCCTCCTCCCCACACCAGGCTTCATCAGGGCATACATGGTATTGGCATCCCGACAAACCAGCAAATGTGGGCAAACAAACTGTTCGACACCACTCGTAGGTCCATCGGCCATCCCGCCTGGACGAGAGCCCTGGTAAAGACTCAGCACATAGTCCTCTTCAGCCATAACCGTTTGCGTGACACCGTCCAGTTGCAAGGGCGGATGAACAACGACATCCATTTTTAGCCAACCCTGACAGATGCTCTCCAAAAGCTGGACTTGGGTTTTCTGTTTACTATCTTCCTGATCAAAGATACTGTCCCTGAGGTGAAGAGTGTTGTCAAACCCCTGAAGATGGATTTTCTTCCCAGCCAGGTGATGTCGGATATTCTTATCAAACCCAGCATCAATCTCTTCGGAAAGATTTGCCGATGCGTCGCCGTTGCTCGGGATGTAAGCCGGGATGGGCAAATGCACCGTCACCGTCGTCCCATTCCCAGCTTGACTCAGCACGTCGATGGTACCACCCAGCGCAACGACCATCTGCTTGACCAAGCTTAGGCCCAATCCGGTTCCAGGCGCAAACTGGTCTTCCTGGGAGAAAGGGGTGAACAGGTTGTTGCTGAGGTACTCCTGACTGATTCCTTTGCCAGAATCCGAGACCTTAAGCACAACTTGGGTTTGCGGCAGTCGTGCACCAATATTACCATCAAAGACCTTTTTCCCGCCTTTGGCGTTTGGCTCTTGGTGAAGCGACACTCTGATAAAGCCGGCTTTGGTGAACTTCAACGAATTGCCAAACAGATTGAGGACGATCCGTCGAAATGCGCCAGGGTGAGTTTGGAACGTCCAATTGACGGAATGGTCAATGTCGAGGTAAATTTGAACAGGCCTCCTGTTCCTGGCATGCGGCATGGCCGGACGGAAAGGGGCCGGGACCTGGTGCGACTCGGTAGCGCTCGAGGCGGACGAGTCCCCTGACGGCTTAGGAGACCCCTTCATCATGGAGGTCCAGGCTGCTATATTTGCCTCGGACATGTTGCGGTAGCTCCATCCCGCCAGAACACTCTCGACCACCTCTTCGGCCAGTCGGTCCAGGCGGACGCAGAGCGGTGGCCCGCTAAGCGTTGGCACAGTGGACGTGTTACTTCTTGCCCGGGAGCGGGGTCCACTACCGGGAGGGCTCCCTTGCTCTGGTCGAGCGGCCGATCGCACGATGTTGTTCACTTTGCTGTAATCCAGTAACTGTTTATCATGTCAGCTTATTGTGGTCAGCATGTCCTTCGTGTTAGAGGAGAGGAAAACCTACGTGGTCAATTGTGTCGAGCAGGGTGCGACCGGATGTCTCGATGGTGCGCAAGATGCTCTCCTGGGTTCCATCCAAGACGGTGTTCCTGAGAAGCTCGACAGAGCCCACAACCCCGTGTAGCGGAGAACGTAGCTCGTGGCTGATGGACCCCAGGATATCTGTTTTGGTCTTGTCCGCCGCCCTGGTATTCAATCGTGCCACCTCGGCCATGGTAGCCAGACCAAAGACACGGAGATAGCTCAGCTCGTTCTCAGGTGTGAAAATGCGAGTTGATGTCTTGGTCCA